GCCTGATCTGTCACTGCTCTTCCTCCTGCTACACCCATGCCCCCAACCCTGTGTGTCCCAAATCAGCTGGATTCCCTGCAGTTCCCTTAAGAACCCAGGAAGGTTGCTGGCCCTCCAGGATCAGGTGAGGTGAGATCCACCCACAGCTTGCTCCTCATCCCTAGCTCTAACGCCCCTTGAATCCATCTAGGATTTTACCCGGGCAGTCTCACCAGCCGTGGGCCTTCCCTTTTCTGGAGTCAACACTTAACTTCTCTTATGTGTCAGCTCCTAAGAACATTTGACAACATCTTAGAAAATTGCAAAGTACCCAAAGGTACCCAGAGACAACCACTGTTCACATCTTGACACTTTTTATCAGAATTGTTTTTAGGGACAGTGCCTGGTTCTGTTGACCAAGCTGGAATGCAGTGGCTATTCACAGGCACGATCATAGCGCACTGCAGCCTTGAGCTCCTGGGCTCAGGTGATCCTCCTGCCTCAGACCCCCAGGTAGGTGGGAATACAGGTGCACAATGTGCCTGGCTTATTAGAATTTTTTTTTTTTTAAATCCAAGAGAATAGAAGGGCTTTTGATGAAGAGCAGCATGTTTGGGATGGGCCCTCTCCCAACCCCAAATTCTTACCCAAGAGTGTGTGATCTCTGCTCCTGGATGTTGTCTCCTAGCTCTAAGCTCTCAGATTGCTTGTATTAGGAAGAATGCTTTCATCAGAATGTAACAGATCACCTAAGAGTGGCTAAACAACAAGGACATTTATTTCAAGTAATGAAAAGTTCAAAAGTCAGTGGTTCTAGGTATCTGAGATCTAAGTGAGCAGAGAACCACAAGTCTCCTGGCCTTCTCCTCCTGGTCACAAGATAGCTGCCAGGGCTCCAGGCATCATATTTCCACTAAACAGCACCTAGGCAGAAAGAAAGGGGGCAGCCGAGAAACTTCTCCAAGTGCATCTCTCTTTTTCTTTTCTCTTTTCTTTTTTTTTTTTGAGACACGGTCTCACTCTGCCCCCTGGGCTGGAGTAGAATGGCACGATAATAGCTCACTGAAGCCTCAACCTCCCAAGCTAAAGCAATCTCCTCACCTCAGCCTCTTGAGCAGCTGGGACCACAGGTGCACGCCACCACGCCTGGCTAACTTTTGCATTTTTGTAGAGATGGGGTTTCACAATGTTGCCCAGGCTGGTCTCGAACTCCTAGGCTCAAGCAATCCACCTGCCTCAACCTCCCAAAGTGCTGGGACTACAGGCGAGAGCCACTGTGCCTGGCCCCACGTGCATCTCTTTAATTAGGGAGGAAAGTATTTTCCTGAAGCTGCCTGAAGATATCCCCTTACAAGTCCCAAGTCAAAACTGGGTCAGGGAGCCCTCTAGACAGCATCTGCTACACCCCATTTCTAGTTCATAAGATCCACTGATGTCCCAGTGGATTAGGCATTGGGTCACTTGGAAACCATTCCCCTCTATCCCTACTCCTCCCGTGCAGTCTTTAAGTACCTCTGTTGGTTATCTTTTTAATTTCAAGAAACTTACTTGCCCCTTCGTTCCTTATTCCACCACATGCCCACAGAAGCTCTTGCCTCCCCACTATTGTCCCTGTCAGCCTTCCTACCCTCTTCCCTTCACTGCTACCTCCCAACTTTTATATCTTTACTTTCACATTGTGACAGATGATAACGCTGACATTCCATTCTGCAACCATAATAAAATTCAGGTCAATACAAAAGTTGAATATTAATGAAAACTAGAAAGATAACATTTTCATTATTTGAGACAACTATACCATATATTTCCTTTGGGTACCTATATATGTAAGTTTTTAGAAACGTCTAGAAAAGTACACATTGAGCCCATTACTGTGGTTACCTCTGGAGAGGAGGAAGGGAATAGGGTGGCAATGGGTGGCCCAAAGGGACTCTAGCTTCATCTGCAATGTTCTCTTTTTTTAAAAAGCGGAATGTATTCATGTTTTGCTTCTGTCATTTGACTGCAATTTTCAAAAAAATTCCTATTCATTTTCAGGCAATTATGTGGGCTCCGTGTGTTTGGATGTGCTTGAGTGTTTGTGCCCAGGGAGGAGGAATATTTACTTTGTGTGTGCCTGTGAATGCAGTAGAGTGATTAGTAAGTAGATAAAAAAGAAATGTAGCAAGCAAAAGCAAAACAAAAAAGGGGGCTGGAGAGAACTAATTCACAACAATAATAAAAACTATAGGAATAAACCCATTAGGAAATGGGCAAGTTCTTTATGGGGAGAACAACAGTGTATGAGTGAAGGACATACAAACTATTAAGAATAAATGTAGAGCTCTACTGTACTCATGAATTCAAAGGCTCGGTATTATATTGATGTCAATTTCTCCAACTTGACAAGCTGGCTTTACAATTCATGTGGAGAAGTTAGTGTGTGGTTCTAGTTAGCTAAGAAAGCTGAGAAGGAAATTAGTGTGTGGTACTAGTTAGCTAAGAGAGCTGAGAAGGAAGCACAACGAAACATGGCATTTTACTTCACAGATACCAAGAGGTGGAATAGCAAAGAAAATAGTCTTGTACTGAAAGGAATACATGGATTGTTGGGAAAAACAGGAGCTTTAGACCCACCTGACTCAGAATATGAGGGAGTTTTACTTCGGATCACAGGGGAAAGGAAGAACTAGTCAACCCCCCACACTGCGATAATTGGCTGCCCGTTTGGAGAAAGGTTAGAGCATACATCAATATGATCATCAAAATATACTCCAGATGCATTAAAGAACCAAATAAAAACAAAATTATAAAAGTATTAGAAAAGAAGAAATAATATATTTAAATATTAGGAGTAGGGAAGGACTAAACATGGTATCCGTATAAAAAAAGATCAAAGGAAAAGATTGACAAATTGGATTATGTCAAAACTGATAACTTCTAACAAAAGATTCTACAAAGAGTTAAAGGCAATGACAAGCTGGAAGAAAATATTTGTCACATATCTACAAATGATCAATATCCAGATTACATTAGAAAACTCCACAAGCCAGTGGGATAAAGACAACCTAATGTTTAAAATGAGAAAAAATAACAGGCAGTTCAGAAAAGAGAAAATACAAATGCTCAATATACATATGAAAATCTCACAAGCAAACAGGAAAATACAAATTTTAAAAAGGATTCAATTTTTCACCCATGAGATTGGCAAATATTTAAAACAACCACCTACGGCTGTGGGGATTATAGCCCTCTCATACCCTCTGGCTGGAAGCTTAAATGGCACAGAAATCATGGAGGACACTGGTAGTGTCTGCTAAAACTAAAACTGTGGACATCTTGAGACCCAGCATTCCATTTCTCTATCACTCCCAGAGATATCCCACCACAGAGGAACATGCAATGTGGTTTCTGCAGCACTGCTCATGATGGAGGAAACAAAAAGAAGCAATTAAATGTCCATGGAGCTTACAGAAGATAAAATGTGGTACATTCATGGGAATGAATACAATATAGCTATTAAAGGCGAAAGCTATGTGTAGCAATAGGAGTATATTGTAAAAATGTAAGACTGAGTGAAAAAAACCTGCAGCTTATAGTAAAATCCCTATAATGTGGTATGACTCATTGAAAATACATCAGGACTATGTGTTACTGTGGATGGAGACACATAAAACTGTGGAGGGGGTGGGAAATGAGGACTCCAGAGGGTGGTCAAAGGGGACTACAGTTATATTCATATTGTCCTACTTTTAAAACGGAGAATGTATGCACACTTTGCTTGTTTAATTAAAGTATAATTTGAAAAGATTCTAATTTGTTTTCAGTCAATTATGCTGCTTCTGTGTGTTTGGCTGTGCTCAAATGTTTGTGCCCAGGGAGGAAGAATATTTACTTTGTGTGTCTGTGAATCAAGCACAGTGATTAGTAAACAGGTTGAAATGGGATATGAAAAAACAAGGGCCAAACAAACAAGAGCAGAGGGCAATCTACTCACAGTTAACAGCAAAACCTATAATATACCTAGGAATGAATTCAACAAGAAATATGCCAGGCTCTAACCAGAGAAAACCATAAAACTGTCCTGAAAGATGTAAAAGATGACCTGAATTGAGAGTAGAGCAATGTGCTGTGGTAGGAAGGCTCTATATGATAAAGATGTCAGTTTTCCTTAAATTTATTCATAAACTCAGGCCAGGTACAGTGGCTCACACCTGTAATCCCAGCACTTTGGGAGGCTGAAGCAAGTGGATCACGAGGCCAGGAGTTCAAGACCAGCATGGCCAGCATGATGAAACCCTGTCTCTACTAAGAATACAAATATTAGCCAGGCATAGTGGTGCATGCCTGTAGTCCCAGCTACTTGGGAGGCTGAGGCAGGAGAATCGCTTGAACCAAGGAAGTGGAGGTTGCAATGAGCTGAGATCATGCCACTGCACTCCAGCCTGGGCAACAGCGCGAGACTCCGTCTAAAAAAAAAAAAAAGAAGAAGAAAAAAAAAGTTATCCATAAACTCAATGTAACCCCAATAAAATTCCAGCAGAAATTTTCCCGAAACTTGAAAGGCTTATTTTAAAATTCATTGGTAGGACTAATATGCAAGAATGACCAAGGTAATTTTGCAAAAACAACAAAGAGGGTGAGATTTGTCCTGCCAGTTAGCAAAGCATATTATCAAGCTCAGGAGCAGACAAATAGATCAGTGGACCAGAAAGGACCCTATTGGGATTTAGTATTGGACAAAGGTAGCAATTTTAAATTAGTGGGGAAATGATATAGAATTCTACAAGTAGTATTGGGACAATTATTTAACCATTGTTGGGGGGATGAGGGGGAACTAAAGTTAGATCCTAAGATTCATGCATGCATATGGAATTTATTTTTTGTATGTGGTAAAAAGGCATATATACATATACACATACACACACACATATATGTAAATGATAAATGTTAGAGAAGAAATACAGGAAAAATGCATATGACCTCAATGCAGGAAAGGCTTTCTTAAATAAAATTGCAAAAAAGACATACAATTAAATAGATCGATTTGACTGTATCAAAATTTAAGATTTCTCCAAAGACACAATACAATTAAATGACAAGAATCACAATACAGAAAATATTTGCAATACACATAAAGTATACAAAATGCATAAAGAACTTCTAAAAAATCAGTAAGGAAAAGATAACATACCCTAAAAAAAAGAAATGGGCAAAAAATTTGGACAAGTAATGCAGAGAAGGAAATATAAATGGATAGGAAACACACAGACTTTAGCCATCCTGGTAATTCAGAAAAATACTAACTAAAACAAGATATTATTTTTCACCCACCAGATTGGTTAAAATGTAAAACTTGGAGATGGTCTGGAGAAATGGACACACATACTGCTGGCATGAAATTAAATCAGAAAGGCACTTTGAAGAACATTTTAGCAGTTACTATCAGAATTTAAGATGTGTAGACTCTATGACCCACCAATTCTGTTTCTAAGTATCTGCCCCAGAGAAATACTTGTACATGAGCAAAAGGGGCATATACAAGAATGCTGTTACAGGTTTGTCCTATTGAAACAAGACTGGAAGCCTTTTAATAGTCGATCAACAAGCAACAACTAAATAAATCATAGCACAATCGGTTCTGGTTGCCGGCGGCCAGCTGAAAGGGGCAGTGGAGCCAGCTGCGGCAGGTGACACGCGACACGAGGAGAGTCCCGTAAGGCTCCCTGAGCTCAGGAGCAGCACCTCCAGTGTGTACATCACCATATCTATGCAAGCAAACAAAAACAACAATAGAACACAGGACATGTTTCAATGCGCATAGGAAAACATTTTGGATCAATAGCAAATGCCTAACAGCAGCTACCTCTAAAGTGGGGAAGGGGCCTGAGGACAGGTTGGGGAGGCCAGTAGAGACTTCTTTACCTGAAATGCTCTAATTTTATTTAAAGGAAAATATATTCATGTATTACTTGTATAATTAAAATTTAATTCAAAAATTCTAATTCATTTTCAGCCAATTAGCTCTGATTTACATGTGTGCTGTGTTTTCATTTGTGTGCCCAGGGACAAAGCACATTTGCTGTGTATGTGTCTGTGAATGAAGCACAGTGATTAGTAAACTGATTAAAATTTGGAAAGCAAAATGAAAAAAGGAAAAGTTTTTCCACTCACAAAAGCAACAAAATTAATAAGGTACTCAGGAATAAACCTATTAAGAACTGTGGAAAATCTTTATGACAAAAGCAACCAACCTTTATTAAAAGGCATTAAAAACAAAACAAAACAAAACAAATACAATTCTGATTAAAAGGAGATAGACACCATGTCCATAGATGGGAAGAACTGATACTCTAAAGTTGTTAATTTCCCCTTCAATGCAATTCTTCTCAGACTTCCAACAGATATTCACAAAGTTCACAGAACTTTGACAAGCTGATGATAAAATGTACCTGAAAAAGTAAATGTGCAATGTGACCAAGACAATTTTAAAAAAGAATAAGGAGCTGGGCACGGTGGCTCATGCCTGTAATGCCAGTACCTTGGAAGGCCGAGGTGGGTGGATCACTTGAGGTCAGGAGTTCGAGACTAGCCTGGCCAATATGATGAAACCCTATGTCTACCAAAAAATACAAAAATTAGCCAGGCATGGTGGTGCGTGCCTGTAGTCCCAGCTACTCATGAGGCTGAGGCAGAAGAATCACTTGAACCCGGGGGGCGGAGGTTGCAGTGAGCAGAGACTGTACCACTGTACCCCAGCCTGGGCGGCAGAGGAAGACTCCGTCTCAAAAAGAAAAAAAGGAATAAAGGCCTTGGGGGAAGGGTGGAGTGCTCATCTTATCAGGCCATAAGACACTTTATTAAGCTTTGCTCATTAATATGTACTATTAGCTCAGAAATAGACAAACAGATCAACAGAACTGGAGTCTAGACAGGGAATTGAGAGAAAAGATGGTGTTGGAACAATAAATGCTTAGCAAACTGGATACCTATTTGGAAAAAGAGCAGATTAGAGCTCTGTGTCACACCATACATGAAAATACATCTCAGATGGGTTAAAGATTTAAACATTTCAAACAACTATAGACGTTTTAGATGCAAACACACAATGTATATACGCTGCGGTGGGGACCTGCTTTCATCAGCACAGTGTGGCAGGACACTTTAGCATCCGGTAGGGTTCCAGGCCGACCTCACCTCCCACCTTTGGAAAGGGCCAGCTGAGCATCTCCATCTGGACCTCACAGACTCCTCTCCCTCTTTCTCTCCAGCTCCACCTGGTCCTGGGAAGAGGGACTGCCATACCGAATGGACTGAGGTCTGAAGCCAGCTCCTGCCACTTGTGTTCTGTGTCAATAAGGCATCTCCCTCTCTGGCTTCCAGTTCCTCCTCTATGAGTAGGTAATGGGGTAACGCTCCATTTCTTGTGGGGAAATGTGAAGCTCGTATGAGATGATGAATGTGAGCATGGATAAATGGCATGGAGCTTACAAGGATGAGGGGAGCAGATACCTCTACTTTGTCTTGATCCACTCCCCATAATCCCTGCTACACAAGACTTAACATCCAGTTCTTCTTCCTTGCATTGTAACTTCTGGATAATTGTAGAATCTTTTTGGTCAAAAGAAGTTGGAGTGCTGACTTCTGACATTTAATTCCAAGGCAGAAAATACTGATTCGGCACCAAAGGAGCTTACTACCTGTTGCTAGGTGCTGAGAAACACACAAAATAATAAGACATAATCCCAGCCAAAAGACAGGATAAAACTGGTGCTAATTAGAACTACAGTTGGTACACGGGTCGGATAAAAGCTCCCAAAAGAACATGGAGATCAAGTTACTCTCTAAAAGGTACATAATTTAATTTTGCCCCATTCAGTCAAATACATATTATTGCCTCCAAATGAATTTATCCACCTCCACAGTTGATCCCAGCCCCTTCGGGAGCTCATCTCACTAATTGTCTCCATCCCCAATCGCTCAATTACTCAGGCTCCTTATCCTCAGAATGTTCATCTGCCAGCACTGCTCTCTCCTTTAAGATGAGAAGTCCTGGATCTTGCTTCTTCTTTCCTTAATCAACTCCCACCCAAACTGCTCTGGCAGAGATTCTCAGAGGTCCCCCAATGGCCCTTTGGGGTGCCAATCAGCAGGGCCACCATGCTGCCCAATTCCAGAGGCACCATGGAAGTTGTGCAGGTGCACACTGGAGGAGCTCAGGGATCGCCCTGGTCCTCCTGACCTCTCTGCACACACCCACTTGCTGACCACCCCATCTTTCTGCTGAGACACCTCCCAGCTCTTTCTTTTCAGTGCTCTCAGAGGATTCTTCTTCTCTTTTCTAATCTCCAAATGTTGGTGCTCCTTGGGCTTGATTTCTTTGTTGGGCCTAAAAATGCCCCAGAAGCCTGTCAACATCTGGATCCATATTTCCATTTGGGAGCCCCCCAGAGCCCTGGACTGGTCTCCGCAATTTCTCACCTTGTGCTCTGGAGCTGTGCCTTCAGCCATTTCTTCCCCATCTCCATTGGGATGTCTCAGCTGTTACCGCTGGACTTGGGGTCTACCTTATAGACCTGGCCCCTTTCCAGTGCTCCTCAGCTCTGAAAATGGCATTGCCATCTCACCAGTAAGGCAAACCAGAAGCTCAGGGGTCATCCTGAATGCTGCCCTCTTCCAGTCCCTCTTCATTCCATCTAGCATCAAGACTAACCAGAATATGCAGATCGTGTCCAAATCCTGTCCACTATAACAAAGCTTCCAAACTTGCCTCCCTGTCTACCCATGCTGCTGTAATGATTTCTCCACAGAACAGCCAGAGTCTCAGGCAGATTACAGCAACATACCAGGGCAGGTCACATCCCCTGCTTCCCTCGCCCTCAGGATGTTGGCAGGAGCTCAGCCCTGGTCTCCAAAGCTCTGCATAGCCAGAACCGCTTGCCTCTCTGGTCTCACCTCTCCTTCCTCCCTAGTCAGGCCCTTTGCTCAGAATGCTTTCCAATTTGCTTTGTTGTTAACTTTGTTCTCTCCTCCCTATCTTGGTTTGGAGGAACACCTCCTCAGGGAAGCCTCCCAGAGTCAGATGAGGGCAGGTCCCCTGGTCGCACACCCTTCAGTACTCAGTACCTTTCCTTCAGAGTGCCTATCAGTGTTGGAAATTGTACATTTACATATGTGATTGTCTGACTATGTCTTTCTCCCCTACTACCATGCACGCTCCATGAGAACAGGGATTCTATTTTAATTCATTCACCCAAGTATCCACAGGGCTAGGCACACTGCTGGGCTGGGCACACAATTAGGTGCTACAAGAGAATTACGTGGCATGTATCAACTTTCATATTAAACAATGGATGCTGAACACTTTGGGAGCTCAGCCTATACACCTGCTCATCTTTCCTAGCCCCAGCCTCCCAGCCCCTACCCTTCACATCTCCAAGTCTTCCTTCTGGACTCCTTAGAGGACTCTTAGTGCCAGATCCATGTCCTCTCACATCTCACCATTATTCTAGCCAAGGCCATCACTCCCTCAGCATGCTCTTAAGGCCATCAAAACTTACTAATGAAATCCAAAGGAAAAATTCTCTGTCTTATTGGAATTCTCTGCTGCATTTGACAGTGTTGATTACTTTCTCCTTGAAACTCTTCCCTACCTTGGTCGTCATGGCAACCCCCTCTCCTGGTTGTTTGTCGCATCTCTCAGGCCCTTCCTTCTCTTTCTCCTTTTTTGCCTGCCCACACCTGGCTCCTCAAATGTCACTATGACTCATGATTCTGCCCTGGGCCCTCTCCCATTTTTCTCTACACTCTCTCCCTGGTGATCTCACTTATGCTCTGGGTCCCCATTACTCTGAGTGGTGACAGCCCTGGGCTAGTGCTTCCAACTGAATCTCTTCCTGAGCCCTAGACACCAGGATCCAAGTGTCTGCTGGGTCCCACTTGGCTGTGTCTGAGTCCACTATCCTGTCGCTCAAACTAGCTCTCCATGCTGTGTTCCCCACCCCAGGGGCCTCCCCACCATCCACCCAGGACTCTACTCAAGATACATGGGGTTGGGCACGGTGGCTCATGCCTGTAACTGCAGCACTTTGGGAGGCCAAAGTGGGAAGATTGCTTGAGCCCTGGAGATGGGAGACCAGCCTGGGCAACATGGTGAGACCCTGTCCTACAAACAAACAAAACCAAGACACATGGGAATTACCTTTGGCTTGACTTTCTCTCTCACTCTCACAGATAAGCACCCACTAATTATTTCTGGGTTTTATCTACCACAAGTTCTGATCTCTCTCCATCCCCACTGGTCTAGTTCAGGCCTTTCCCTCTCTTACCTGGAAGTCTCCTGCCTCTGAGCTGGCTACTTCTTCTAATGGATATCTGAGAGTTTTGGCTTTTTAGCATGACTTACTCTTCCCTGAAGCCCCTTATTACTTCTTGGGAAATTTTCCATCTTATGTGGCTGTGGTGGGACCTGCGCCGTTCTCTCACATGGAAGCCATGGAGGGCCCTCCTCCAGATCCTGCCTCTTACCACCCAGGTCCTATCAGAGGGTGGCACAAGGCCCAAGCCCAGCCAGCTAAACCAAGCCTCTCTCTGGACTTTTGACTTCTGTCCAGATAGGGAAGAAATAGAATTCTTTGATGTCTAGGCAATACCAACAAATAGAACTACTACTGAGACCCTGAATGTCCCATTCAAGCCTGTGACCTGGGCCTCACCTACTTCATTGCTCCCTGGATGTTGTCACAAAGTCTTTTTGATACAAAGAAAAACTTCTGAATCTCCATTTCAGACACTGGATTTCAAGCAGAAAATAATTATTCTGCCCCTGCCTAGCTGGCTGCCTGTTGCTAGGTGCCGAAAGGTACAAAAAAAATGAGAAAGACATAGCCCCAGCCATGAGGCAGACGAAACCGTGCTAATTAGAGCTGGAGTCAGTACGCAGAGGGCAGAGAAAAGGCCTCCCAAAGAACATGGAGATCAGGTTACTTGCTAAAATGTACATAATTTACTTTTGTCCCTTTCCACCAATACGACTAATCCCTTCACCTCTACACTTAATCCCAGAGCTCCAGGGCCCCTCTCACTGCCCAGCCCTGCTCTTCCGACTGGGCTTGCACTGCTTCCTGCTTCCTGTGTCTCCTGGAAGAATCAGGTCCTTCCTGGACCCGCTGCCTGCTCCAGCTCCCCCTCCCTCCTTTCTCAGCCAGACTCAGTTCATTCCCCCCACACCAAGAGGAGCTTCTGCCCCTTGCCCCAAAGTTGCTGTGACAAAAGTCCCCAAAGGCCAGGTCTGGGAGATGCCTGAGCCTCTGCTAACCTCTGTGCATATGGCCCACCAGTGCCCACTCTGCCCTTTTGGAAACTCTCCTCTGGGTTCTAGGAACCCCATGTTTTTGGTCTTCTCCTCTGGCCCCTCCTTCTCTGTCTCAGCAGAACTCTCTTCCTGTACCTATTCCTAAAATGTCATGAACTCGTTTCTGGCCTTGTCCTTCTTCTTTGAGTGCATCTCTGGTTCTTCATCTATCCCTGTTGAGATGCCCACACTTTCTTTGGTGAGCTCCCAACTGGCACATATACTTTCCTACTTGATGCCAGCTATGCACATTTTCCTTCCTTGCCCACCCTCGCCCTTTGCTCCTACCTCTGACTCAGACAGGCAGGAGGACTCTAGGTGATAGCCTTCTGGACTGCTCCTATCACATCTATCCTTATGTCATCTCAGTCCAGAGCCAGCTCAGAAATTGTCCCCTGGCCCAAACTGTTACTCTAGCAGCTTTCCCTGAGAGGTGGCCATGCTGCCTGCTTTCCTTACCCTTTCATTTTCCTCTGTCCCGTCTCTCACAGGAAACTGCTCTTGATGAGGGTCTAGTGGCCCCTAATGACCACATCCAGTGGGCTCTCGGTCCCTGTCTAGCTGGCCTTTCTCTTTTGTCTGTTGGTGGCTCTCTTTTGAAAGTGCTCCACATCCCCAGGTTTCCATGCCAACATAGCCTGCATGTGCTTTTTCTACGTCTGACTTCTTTTTCGCCTTTGTGGGCTCCCCTCTCTCTGCCCACCCCTTAAATGGGGGCAAGGCTCTTGTTCTTGGACCCCCTCTCTTTTCTCAGCTGGTGCGTTCTCCTACAGCCAGTTCACCAAAGCCCATGGCTACAAGCACCAAAGTTTCAATCCAAATCTCTTGTTTAAATCTGCTGCTGGGATCTAGACCCTCTATCTAGCTTCTTGCAGGCCACCTCCTCCTGGATGCTCACCTCTGACTCAACCTGTCCAAAACTGAGCTCAACAATTTTCTCTCAGCCCCCAAATCTGCTCTTTCTCCTGGGTGTTCTTCCTTTCACCCAGTCACTCATGACAGAAAATAGGAAAGGTATCCTTTACTGTCTTTCTTTAACACCAGCAACCAACCAGTCCGCAGATTCTCCCAATTTCACCTCCTGGATCTGACCACTTCCTCCCATCCTCTTGGCCCCTACCCTTATCCCTCCTGGACCCTACCTGGACCAAGGCAATCATCTCCTCTCTGGCCCACATGCCTCCAAATTTCTCTAAGCAACCAGAGTAATCACTCCAAAAGAGAAATCCTACCATGGCACCTGCTTGCACAAAACGCTTCAGGGGCTCCCTGTTGCAACTGAACACCCAAGTCTTGAATTAGACATACTAGCACTATGTGAGCTGGTTCTGCTTTCTCCACCCCTAGCCTCTCATTTCATACTTCAGCAACCCCCAGCTGTCTATGAGTTCATCCATGATGCCTCTCACCTCTACCTCTGCCTTCTACTTGAATAACTTCTACCTATCCAGTCACCTCTTCTAGGAACCTCCTTGGATATTCCCATGAAATCTGCACCACCAACCCCAGCTGCCCATGCTCCCATGTCCCAGGCATCTCTCTGGCCTTCTCCTTCCTATGTATCATTTTAGTGTCTGTCTGTGTGTCTTTCTTAACTCTGAACTCCCAAGGGCAAGGATCATATTTATCTTTGTGTGTGTGTGTGTGTGTGTGTGTGTTATACTTTTATAGATACAGGGTCTTGCTATGTGGCCGAGGCTGGTCTTGAACTTCTGAGCTCAAGCAACCCTCCTGCCTTGGCCTCCTAAAATGCTGAGATTACAAACGTGAGCCACTGTGCCTGGCCAATATTTTAAAACGTATCATCACGCCTGACACAAAGTAGAGACTCAATAAATGTTGAGTAAAGTTACAGGCCACTTACTCTCTGAAAATTTCTCTCTTCTTCCAACTTTCCAAGAAGTGTACACCAATTCACATTCCCCCCAGTAGTGTAAAACAGTGCCTATTCCACTATCCTCATCAACATTGGGTATTCTTAAATTTTTCCCCCTAATTTGTTAGGGAAAATTTATATTTCCTTGTTGTTTTTATTGTTGATCTTTGGTTATTAGTGAAGTTGAATGTTTTTTCAAAAATTTTTTTAGTCAATTCCATTTCTTTTCCTGTAAACTCAATTTAGGCGACTTACACACACCTGTTTTGCTTTTACTATTGGGTTTTGGGTGTGTTTTTTTAATACATTAAGAATCTGCAACCACTCTGCTTTTTGGTTGTGATATTACTTGACTTTGAAAATATTTAGTTTTAATGGAGTCAAATTGGTTGGCCTTTGCCTTCTTGATGTCATTTTGTTGCTTTTTAGCTTAAATGGGCTCCCCATTCAGTCACTTGTTATATATTCCCTTTCCCTCTGGTTTTTAATGGGCTCATTTTTCCTTTTGACCTTTGAAAATAATTTTCAAATTTGGGTGTGTGCTCTGTGGTGAAGTTGGAATGGACTTTTTCTCTTTTTAGTCAATCAACAGTCCATGCCTCAATTTTGGGTAACCCTTCCATTCTTGGCTCTGGCTCTGAGCTTAGCTATTCCTGGCTGATTATAGCATTTATGGTCACAGCCTTCTCAGAGCACATACCACCTGAACAGGAACTGAAAGGCTACAGGAGGGTACGATTCCAGGCACAGTGACAGTGAAAGACAGGGAGGTGTTTAAGGGATGGGAGCAGAAAGCCTTTCTGGAAGCTCTGACAGAAGAGTGTGCGTAAAGATAGATCACCTACTTTGCCAATGTGAATGGCTAAATCCAGCTGGCATCCACCTGTCCTGGAGGCTTCCAATTCTGCAAGGAAACATTATTTGGGGTCACAAGAGACAAAGTGCCCACCCCACTCCTCACCTGCGCCAACCTACCTGTAGAGACTCTGCCAGCACATTTCACCATCAGCTGAAAAATCATCTCAGCCAGCTCCTCTCAAGTTCATCTTCTGGGGGCTGCAGCCATCATCACGATTCCTCCGTGCCGCAAGATGAGGACCTGACCCAGAACCTGGGGTCACCACGCCCCTTGTTCAATTACTGCTTTAGGCATGAGGGTATCTGAGGGTAATGCTAGAGCTGGAAGGGAACTGTGGAATATCTAATCCAACTACCTCATTTCACAGATGGGGAACCCAAGGCCCAGTGAGGGGAGGTGACCCGCAGCCACCCAGCAAGTGAGTGGAAAGCATCCTTGCTGGGAGAACTCAGTGTGAGGACTTTGCCCATCGAATCTTGACCATAAAAATATTTGGACCCTGGGTTCTAAAATAATTACATGATGAACTTGTATATTGTTCAGGAAAGTGGCATGGTGTGTAAAGAAGACAGTGAAGTTAGAGGAATACAGGCCTCTTTTTGCCAGTTCTTTCTGGAAGACCTGAAGTTTGTTCCCTCCTCTAAAAAATAGGGATAATCAAGAATCCAAGATGATAGAAGCAAACTCACCCAACAGACTGAGGGTAAGTCTAACAGGGTCCTCAAACCTCAAGACCCTAAATGGGGAATATCATGAGTATGTGAGACCCCCCCCAAAAAAAGAAAAAAACAAAACCCTTGTAAACTGTACAGAACTGTGCCCATAGGAGAGTCTGGTCGTCCTAGTACTGACCACCATGTAGGTGTCAATTCTCAACACTCCAGGCAGCCCGACTTAACGAGCCAAGGGTGGATCCTGGGCTGCTTCTCTCTTTTTTTTTTTTTTTTGAGACAGGGTCTCGCCCTGTCACCGAGGCTGGAGCGCAGCAGCATGATCTCAGCTCACTGCAGCTCTGTCTCCTGGGTTTAAGCGATTCTCATGCCTCAGTCACCTGAGTAGCTGGGGTTACAGGTGCATGCCACCACGCCCAGCTAATTTTTTGTATTTTTAGTAGAGATGGGGTTTTTGCCATGTTGGTCAGGCTAGTCTCGAACTCCTGGCCTCAGGCGATCCACCCACCTTGGCTTCCCAAAGTGCTGAGATTATAGGTGTGAGCCACCACACCCAGCCCCTTCTTCTATCATCAATAGCTTAACGCTGGTATTTTTCCTCTTTGATCTAATTTCCCATTTCAGTTATTTCACCCCAACAAATATTTATTGAGCACCTCCCAGTGATGGCTTGAGGACAGATGAGGTCACCTGCTGAGTGCTAAGCCTCCCAGGTTTGGGTGGGTGGGTCGTTGCATGCTTGCTATCCAAGGCTAAGCCCCTACCTGTCCATCTAGTGCCGTCCACTCCAGGCCACTTGGGACACAGGCCATCACTTATCCCTGTTCACTGTTGGCCTTTGTCTTCTTGATGTCATTTCATTGCTTCAGCTTGAAGGAGGTCCTCCACTCAGACACTTGTTAAACATTTTATTCCTTTCCTTCTGGTTTTTAATGAGCTTATATCTCCTATTTGGCTATTAAAAATAGCCTCTGTTCCCTGACCCCTTCCCCCTCTGAAAAGTGTTATGTCCCAGACTTCCAGTCCTATCTGAGCACCGGGAACCTCCCTGGTGCCTTTGCCCCAGCTCCCTAACCTCAGGCAGCCCTCTACCTCCTTCCCCTCATGACTATAGGGAAGACAAGGACAGTGGTGAAAGTGAGGCTCTGAAGGGCAACAGAATGGGACACAAATCCCAGCTTTGCCCCCATCTTGGGCAAGTGCCTTCATGTTTTGAAGCTCTGTATAGTGGGTAAAACCATGTCAACCCTAGGATGTTCTCTTAAGGTTTCAGGGAGGTACTGTTGACAAAATGCTCATCAGGGCCTGATCCAGAAAAGCACAGGCCAAATATTAGCTAAACCAAAAAAGAACAGTCCAAACGGGTCACGTCCACTTATCCTTCTCTTTCCCTTCATAGTTGGAAGAGGTGATCTGTTCCTCTCGTCTCCACTTCTTCCTCTTATTCTCTTCTCTTCCCATAGTGATGTGGTATCTGTCTCTAATCCTCTGCTAACCCCAAGATGGATGACAAGACCTCCTAACTGACCAACCCAACTGCCTCTTCTTGGTCGTCTTGCTGGTGTTGCTTACCACCGGGGACTTCACATTCCTTCTCAAAACCCCTCCCTCCACACCTTCTCCCTGGGCGATCTCCTGGACTCTCAAGTGAAGGACATCTCTTCTGGGAGGACAGGTGGGCTCCTCTGGCTGGGTACCTGCAGAAGCAGAGCAGGAACGCCTAGGGGTAGGGAACCAGACTGTGAAATGCTCTGCTCCATTAACAGAATGCCATCCTCTAGGGAATAGGGATGGACAAAGTTAGGCCAAGAGCCACAGAACATGACCTAAGCTAGTAAAGATGGCCAATGGTGGCCATTTGGTTGATGGGTTGAAAGAGACAAGATTGAAAGCAGAGAGACATCTGGTGCAACTCTCCTGCAAGAGTGATCTGAATTAAAAGAAGGAGATGGATATAGGAAAGATCAAGGGACCGGAGAGACGGGACTAGAGGTGCAGTGGTGTCATCACAACCAGGGATCGGGAGGCCCAATCCAATCTTACTGGTTCTGGACATCACTCATACTGCACACCCAGACTGTAAGGAGGGCACAGCTGCCAGGGCTATTAGTCACAGTAGCTGTGGTGTGTGCTATGTGCCTGTGGTCCCCAGTTCCTGTCAGTACAAAATGGAACCATATGGCATTTATAAAAATGGCTCCGAGGGTAGAAATAAGAACTGGATCCTATTTGGCCAGTAAGTAAAAACAAACAAAACCAAAAGCCAACCACCAAAAAGCAGCCCCCCAAATGGCCCACCCCATCAGTGAATAGTAGTCTAAACCCCACAGGATTGCAGCTGGAGTCTGGGGGTTGGACTGAGGACAGGTTTTTCCCTAGAATAGTCTGAGGGAATAGGACCAAAGACTTTAAATCTTGGTGATGGGCTCACATGGGTGTGTGTGGCAGTAGGGCATGGCTGCAGGAGTTCTCAGATTGTTACTCTAAAGAGGACACTCATGATCTAGGAGGGGAGAAGACGATGGAAGTGGGAAAATGAGCAACACAGAGGACCACCTAAGATGTGATCAGAGTTCAGGAATCAAAGGCAGCCTGCCCTAGCTGTGAACTCTTGGGCAAGTCGAGAAACCTCTCAGCAGAGCTTTGGTCAATTCTCTGTGAAACAGTGGTTCACGATCTGCACTCCTGCAAGCTCACCTGCCTGTTGGCCTATGGGGAGGAACTCATAAAAGCGGGAAAGCTGGGGAAGTCCCATATGCAGAGTTAGGGTATGGGAAAGGTAGAGGGAGGGAAGAAGAGGGAAGCCCCTTGGCTTACAAGTGACTCAGGAGTCCACCGACATCCAGATCTTACAGGGTGTCTACCACCTGGTGGGGCTACTCTTAAAACACATGTGGGCTGTTGCTACAGTGAGGATGCCAGGCTAGGCAGTCTTTTATAAGGTTCTTCTCACATATCTTTGTTCAAAATACTAGTCTTGAGGCTGAAAGATAATCTCTGTCACTTCAGAGTTGCCAAGAGATTTGGGAGGCAAACTGAGTTCCTTTCCTTCTAGGAAAGACTGGGCCACCCAATTACTTAGGGACTCTTAGCAATTGATTGAACCACCTATCCATCTAGCCACCAGGTCAGCCAACCAGCAGGTACTATGCCAGGCCTGGTCAGGTAGGTTCTGTGCTTGGTCAAGGAACAAAGACTAAGCCCCTTATCTTCAAGGGTTGTGCAGGGCCTTGATGACCAAGCCAAAGGATTGGGCCCATAAACAATATGGAATTGCTGAAGGGCTTTGTCTGCCTTTCCTGCCTCATAGACACTTCCATGTCTTCTTTGGCTCTAAGTTAAGATCCTTGACAGTTCTGCACGCAAGAGATTTCAAGTTTATTTTTTAATGCAAAAGATCCTTTGATTAAACACTTGATTGTCTTAATACACTTTCTTTCAACCACTATCTCTAAGACTAAAATAACAAGGAGATAAATGTCACTGATGTTTCACAGAAGACAGCTTTGGAAATGTTAAAGACTTCTTCGTCCAGCCCCCTCCTTGACCTATAAATGGGGAAACAGAGACCTAGAGAAGAGTAAAGAGAGCAAAGCCACGTGGAAAGTGGATGGGAATCAGCCCCAGGGCCTTAGCAATTGCCTCCCTGCCCCCTCCTTGGAGGTTCACCACTACCAGTGTAGGGCAGGAGGCTGTCAGAGGGTTTGGCTTTGGAAAAGGTGTTGAGCTATCCAAGTACACGCTCCACACAAGCTGCCCAGAAAAATAGTGAGAGGCCAGAACCACCCAGATTAGTCTCTGGAGAAGAGTCATATCTGACCCTTTGGGATATTTGACAAAGCACTCTCAAACATATGCCTCCTCTGGTTCCTCATTGGGAGGAGGATGGACAGACAGGGGTTACTCTCCAAGAGAGGGAAATGCAGGGAGGGTTGCTGGGCAAGCTGGTGGCTAAGTAGGGGCTCAAACTGAGAACTTTGGTCTCCCAGAAAGCAAGCTACACCTTGGTGTTTTCCTTTTTAGGATACTGCCTTTGCAGAGAAGGTAAAAAATAATTGACTTCACACAGAGGTACTGAGATATGGTCTCCCAAATAATCTCTACCTACCACCACTAAAGCCCTAATGACATGGTATTATCTACCCACAAGAATGACTCTGTCCTCCCTCCTGCTGATCTGAGCTCCTCAAGGAGGGCATAGTCATTCTGCGCCAGCTTCTCAGAGCTTGGAAAAGAGCCTGGCAAATGCTCCTCATATGAATGAATGAGTGGGAGAGCTGGGGGATCAGATCACATCCCTAACAGGCTGGAGCTTAGTAAGGGCCAGTGGCAGGGAGCCATAAAACAGAGGAAATAACATTTATGGAGACTGTGCCTTGGGGCAGATGCTGTGGTGGTGGTGTGTTCTCTATGCGACAGGTGAGGTACAGTCACAAAGGCAGGGCATAAGGGCTGGGGCTCCCTGAAGCCTTGCATCAAGATTCTTCAGTCCTTCAAGTCTCTCTCTGCCCAGCTTTTGAGCCCCTTTTCTAGTATCCCAAAGGGAGACCAAGGGCTTCTGTCTGAAGCCTTCAGTTGCTGCTTAGCTGGGTTCTCTTTTTTACCTCCAGCCTGCCTAACAATAGAAGTTTTTCTCAACATACGTCATTCTCCCCCTGAAGCCTGGCAGATCAAACTCTATTCTTCCTGGGACTTTCAGGAAGATACTGGGGAGGGAGGGTTGTTGGGCTGAGACAGGCCAAGCTCCCCAGGCAGGACCATCTTCCATCAAGGAGAGCACTTCTTCAGTCATTCCTCTTTTCCGAACAGTGGCCCTTTCACACAATTTGGTGCACTGGGGAGTGAGCTTTGCATTGGATGCTAGGAGACAGGGTTCTGGCTCTGCCCACTGAATGGACACATGTGACAGCCCTTCTCTGGCCTCCTTTCCTGCAGCTATTCAATAGGAGTTGGCTTTCCTTTTATCATCTTTCACTGCTTCCTTTTCCCCAGCCTACCCTTTCTCCTGTGTCCCTGCCTCATTCACACTCACTCCTTATGACTACTTCTCCCCATTCCCAGTGATCTAGAGAAGCCAGTAGCCTTCTCCATGCCCTGCTACTTTCACCACTCAAATGCTGTCCTGTTTCTTGCTGACAGAATCCCATCTCAGAGGCTGTTCTGACTGGGTTACTCCCCACCTCCTATCAGATCCTTGTTTGTGATGGTTCCCAGTCGGATGGAAATGAAGAGTTCTGAGGGCTGACTTTTGAAGTCTGCCAATAGCATTTCAGCCTTAGATTCCCTTAGTATCTCCCAACAATTCGCTAGCTTTAGATAGACTGACCTCTTTATCCCAAAAAGCCTTTTTGGGTTCTGATTCTAGGGCAGCCAGATAGTGGTGGTCCTTCATTTTACTTTCATCCCAGTCTCTTTATCTGTAAGCAGAGATGCTTGATTAGATGGTAAAATAATAGTAATAACATCTCATTTATTACTTCACTGCTCAAACCTTTATATATTGTTCTTCAGGGCTCCACCTGAAAGTTAATCCTTCCAGGCCCATATTGGGTCCCCTCTTAGACCCTCTCTTGTAGCAGCTGACACAGTCCATGGCTGTGTATCGCTGGCATTATCTGCTCAATGTTGTGCCCTTTCCCATTAGCCTGGAGGGCTCCCGGATGGCAGGAATGGTCGACCCTATAGTCCCAAGGCCTATTCCTGCATGGGATTCTGCCAAATACCAGCCAAATGACTGACAATGCAGGCCCCCTTGGGAGACAAGAGGAGCCCTCATGGGCCATGCCTTGTAGGAACTCAGTCGCTATAGAAGGGGAAGTCTGCCTAACACTAGCAGTAGCACTCAACAGAAGGCTGAGTGAAATGCTCCAGTCAAGTAGCTCTCCAGGGAGAAGAAATCCAGGGAAGTTTCCTGACAGAGGAAGTACCTGGGCTCACATGGTACACTGACTAAAGCATAAAGCACATGCTATCCTGAAAGTGCACTGCCACCTACTCAGAGCCCAGCTAACATCCTCAAATGGGTCCAGGAAGATCCTAGATCTTGGGAGAAAGAACTCCCAGGATATTAGGACTAGAAAAACTGTCTGCTCCAAAGATCACATTTTACCTATCTGGAAACTGGGGCCCACAGCAGGGCAAGGACCAGTTCCTAAAGCAGCCCAGACCTAGGCCTCGTGGGGTCTTGTGGTCACTAGGTACCATGTGGGCAACCATTTCATACCAGGAGCCATAGTGACCAATGGAATTGTATGTTTTTCTAAGGCCTGCTGCCCCTACTCTTTTACAGAAAAGGTATCTACTTTTCATTTTCCTAAAAGGCAGTTCAGGAAGAGGGGGCGGTGGCCTGGCAAGGTAGGAAGCATTATGGGGTGACAGAATGCTGATTTGGCAGTCACTTTGGGAAGGGGTGGCTGCAGGCTCCCTGCTGGAAAGGGCCACAAATCTTTCAGAGGGAGGCCTGTTTGTGACTCTTAAGCAAGCTTGACCTGAAACAGAAAGCTGCTTTCTGAGGGAGAGCAAAATAAGCAATAATCTTGGCTTCATTCATCATCCAGGTGTCGCCACAGGAGAGAAGGGACACAAAAGCCTTTTTTTGTTTGTTTGCTTTGTTTCTGGAATTTGCAGTTGTCTATTTTGTTAAGTCTTCCCACTAGGCTACACTCATGAGCTCCTGGAGAGTCAGGCCTGAGTCTTGCCCCTGAAATCCCCAGTAAGCCGAGTACAGGGTCTCAGTGTTTGTTGAACAAACCATCCTTTCCAGGTATGACTCCTCAGCTTGTCAAGACTTTGCAGAACCACGAAATCTATCCAGAAACACAGAAAAGAAGAATTCAGAGATAAAAGCACAAAAGAATCAGATAAGAAAATTACCCAGCAGATATGATCAACACAAGTTTGGTTTTTTGAAAATACCTCTAAAATAGACAAATCTTTGGCAAGTTTTGAATGAAGGAATAAAGTAACAATGGGCAGACTTAAGTGAACAGGAGAAAACCATACTCAATTTTATAGCAATAAATTTAAAGCCTAGGTAAAACAGGTGATCTTCTATGAAATTACCAAAGCCCTTCACGACTGTGACTAAATAAAATCTCACGATAGCCCTGTGCTTGGACAGGCAGTACTCCTACTATGCTTTCTAGAAGGAGATTCAGAGGTGAATACCCAGCACAGGACCTGACAAACTAGCCTACATTGCCTCAAAGGTCATGGCCATGGGAGCACGTGCCTATCTACAACATGGAACCACACCACTCTCGGCACTTCTAGCCATCACCTTACGTCCGGCTGATTGGACAGCCAATCTTATTTATTTTTCCACTTGAAATGCCATAAGGGGTTTCACTATTTTTACTTCAAAAGCAGCACCATAAAAATCCTTGATGATTAGAGCTCCAGCTGTCTTAAGTTGTTTGTCAAGGGATCGGTTACTCAAATCTCCTATGGAGGGAAACAATTTCAGGCGAGAAGCCATGGGAGCTGAGAAACGCAAATGTCTCATCTCTGAAAACTTTCAGACTCCCTCCTGTTCACCGCCTGTCCTGCCCCCTGCTCCCCCTCCCCCATCCCCACCATCTGCTCTCCAGAAAGCAGATCAAATTTTCGGGCTAAGGTACTCTGGCGCCAAGGACTCAGCCCCTCCATGCTTCCCCCTGCCCCCCACCAACTCCGAAATCCAACACCACGACCCAAATGGACTGCAGCCACATAAAACCACAAAGTAAAGTTTATAAAGCTTTATTAAACATTTCAAACAGCTGTGCAACGAACACACCAAATAAAAGCTCTAGAATAGCAGTCCAAACGTTTCACAAGTATGGCCTCACAGTCCCATTCCCTAGATGAACTGCCTCCAGTTCTGTTCTCTGCCTGGCCCATCTCTCTTTCTCCTCAGGCAAGACAGAGATGGATGGATCAGATTGAAAGGACAGGCATGCTGATCTCCAGTAGGCAGGGGCCAGGAGAAAGTCTCGTTTGCCAACACTTGTTACTGAAGCGCAGAAAAAGCAGCAAGTGACAGTCACACAGTCTTCCTGGGTATTCTTCATAATGTACAGTCTATATGCGCAGGAACGGAGAAGCCCCTGGCGGGAGGATGATGGCCACTGCTCCCCTGTCTTGTCTGAATCACCTCGGAGTCCAGTGTGCTGGTCACTCTGCAATCCCCATGCTAAATAAAAACTGTAGCGGCACCTACCATATATAGCTAGCTATTGCTAAACCTCAAAATCAGAACATGTTCGATAAAGCTTCTTTAAAAGGAATATACACATGTATTTGTACACACACACACGCACAGGGCACACCAAAAAATATCCAAACATCTATCAAGGGGATCATGGCTGTTATGAAACACAGGTACTCTCCCACTCACTCAGCTGGGGACTGCTAGAACTACGTGAACACACCATACTTCAATGCTGCAGAGCATGCACGGGAGACACAATGAGGCCCCCCTCCTTGGAACAGTTGAGAAAGGCAGGAGGAAGGGCAAAGGAAGTGAGGCTGGGCAGGAAAGCATGAGCCCAGACACCCAGGTGAAAGAGCAACATCTATCTGTTGCTTCCTTTCTTAAAAATGAAGCGGAGAAAATACTGAAGATTTGTGGACAACAAACAGTCAAGACATGTTTCTGTCTAGCCTGCTGAACAAGGAAAGAAGGATGAAAAAGCGAGGCTCTCGGGCGTCAGCAATCTCTTCAAATTTGAGATAAGTGCAAAAATGAGCCCTGTCTTGGACAGGTACTCCCCCAAAAAAAGGAAAAGGGTAGAAGAGAAGTAAAGGGAAACCAGGAGAGGGACTGAGTCAGTAACATTCTGGGAAGGAAGGAGACCCTGACAAGGAGGGATCACAGAGGTGACAATGAGACTGGCATTTTATCTGCCCCAGGTCACATTGGGGCGGTTGACCAGGATGGGCCCAGACTCCTCGCAGTAATGAGGCGAGGGGGGTGGTCATGCGGCCAGCCAGGACCTAGATGGGGACAGAACACACACAACCACAAGACCACCCACGACTATAGGACTTTACAATAAAAGCACCGGTCAGTGCCATTATTCACATTATAAGGATAAAACATCACAGGCCAAAAAGGCGCCGTCAGGAATGTGACACCCGCGAGGCTGCGGGATTTGAAACTCCAATGCTTTATGACCTATGTCAATGCCTCCCCTCCCGTCTTCTGCTTCCTTGAAAAGCTAACAGGGCAGGCCGTTAGGTGCCCACAACGCCGGGATCATGCGCCGATTCTGGAAGCGGTGAATCGGAGCAGTGGTACAGGAAACAGTTTCCCCAGCAGCTATAGCAGATAAGGAAAAGCGCTGCCAGGAAAACCAAGGCACAAATTGTGCAAGGCTTCCGTTCCAGGAGGAAGCTGAGCAGGTAGAAGCCCATGAACATGGAGTGGCTGAACCACAGGGCGGGGTTGAGGGGCTTGGGGATGAGGAGGACGGGCAGCAGCCACTGGAGGCAATACATGATCTCTGCCGGGCAGGGCCTTCACCAAGGCTGCCGGGCACCGCTGCAGGAACCGACCTAATGGGAGCCAGCGGGCGCAGGCGGCTGCCCTCCGCTTTCTTCAACCCTCACTCTCCAGGAGCTGAGCCGCTGTGCTCTCTGGCTGTCAGCCCGGGATCACCAAGGCAGCAGGGATCCTGAAGAGAAAAGTCAACACAACAGACAAACAGACAAAGAACAGACAGACAGACAAACACACATACAAAAAAAAAAAAAAAAAAAAAACAGGAACAGAATGTATACTTATTTGGGAAAATGGATCATGGTTAACAACAGCAAATGTGAAATGCCCTTTCCTCCCTGCCCACCCGTGAAAGTTCTACTCCTCTCCAAGTCACCAATTCGGAAGCTTCCTGGGATGTCTCCCCGGGGCTTCTCCTGGGGCATCAGGGAGAGGGCTCTTTGGCACGGTTTCACACAGTGGACTGGCTTTGCCTGGGCCCTGCCCAGCAGAGATCATGTATCGCCTCCTGGGGCTGCAGCCCGTCCTCAAGGGGCCCAGACCTCACAATACCGCCCAGTGGTTGCCAAAGGACTACCAAGGGCTCCCTGCTGTGCCCCCACGTGGTAAGGACAGGGTTCTGTATCTAGCATCTCTCACAGCCATAGGTGCTCAGGCACTGAGTGCCGAGTTAAAGCTGTTAGCGGCGCACTGCCGGCCACCAGACCACAGGCAAAGGATACTGAGGCAGCTGCAGCCTCGAAATATTTTAAGATGGCAGCCTAGGCTAAGCTTGCCTTTTTCAAATAGCCCGGCGTCACTTTGCCAGAACCTGCCAACTTCTCCGAAAGTCAATGTAGAAAAAAAGTCACTATGCTACTTTGTCCAAACTGAAGTCGCTTGGATCATTACACCTCCATCTGCTGCTGGCACTGTACAGAACCTGACCTCTAGGAGCTTTTAACAAAAATTAATTTTCTATCCACAAAGGGGCAAATGCCAGTTGGCCCCTGGGCAAAAGGCAGCTTGCTGTAAAGAGGTGCTTTCGGCTGGCCACCGGTGCGCGGGGACCACACTCACAAACCGCATTCCGGTCTTCCCGTCTGCAAAATCTGCGTTGTGCGAGGGACCCACAAGACGGGCGGTCTGAAAGGGACCCGCCTCACTTGGAAATGGGGCTGCGGTAGCCACAACTCTCCGGTAGCGGTAGCGAAACCCCGTTCGGTGATCCAGCCGCCCAGCGCAACGGGTACAAAGAACCAGCGGCTAAGGCCGACCTACCAGGGCTTGGGGGAGGGGAGCGGAAGACAGAGGTCGAAACGACCTGTCTAGCAGAAAACTATCCCCGAGCATATTCCAACCACTTCTCCGTAGAGAGCTCATTCCTTCCGCGCATACGAAGGGCGCCAATCCTTCCTGTATCCCTCCCACAGATACTAGGTGACTACTGCTTTTGCGCCCAAAGCGCAGTGCCCTGGCTCAGCTCCCTACGGTAGCCACCTCCACCGCAGATCCTCATCTCCTCGCTAACGTAAGAGAGATGTAAAGAATCAGACGGGTTACGCGCTCAGGGACACTCATGAAGCAGAGGACCTGGGCTTAAAACTCATTCAGTATTAGGAAAAGAGCGCCGAGCATGGTTCTATTATGCCGAGGCTTCTGAAAGGGGCACCATTTTTTTTGCTCTATGGGGCAGATGACCCCTCCCTAATTTCTGTTTTTCCATCCATCCCCAAGGTAGGCTCTGGAGTGGCACCGGGGTCTGACCTCAAATTTGCAGGCCAGGGACTGGGGAGAAGGGCGCCACACTAAGAGACCTGCACCCCCATCCTCGCCTTGTACTCTATCCAGAGTCGTGGTACCCCTCCATTTTAAAGCAAAATCCAAAAGCAAGCACGGCGGAATCTTCTGGAAGGGGGCTAAGATGGAACTCAGGAGGCGGGGGTCGGTATGGAAAGAGCAGATGGATTATTTTTTTCCTCTCCTGGCGAATGAGGAGCGCCCCCAGCCACCCCTCCTCATAAACACCCCCCCAAGGCGCGCATGCGCACTTAAGTGGCGGGCGGGTACTTAAGGCGCGGCCACCTCGGCTGCGGCAGTGCGCCCAACAGCGGACTCCAAGACCAGCGGATCTCGGCAAACCCTCTCTCTCGACCACCCACCTACCACTCTCGGAACCATGGCGGCAGTGGCGGCAGCCTCGGCTGAACTGCTCATCATCGGCTGGTACATCTTCCGTGTGCTGCTGCAGGTAAGTGTGCCAGGGTTTCGGGTGGGAGAGGGTTCCCAACTCGCGCCCCCAGAACCCGCAAGACCGCGTCGCGATTGCCGCCTCCCAGACCGTCCTATTCCGATTGCCGCGATCCCTGCCTGCCAAAGTGCCGCTGCCGGCACCGCGCGCCCCCTGCCCATTCCCTGCGCTGTCCTCCTCGCGCTGACCCTCCCTAGTGCGCCCGCGCCTGCCCGGGAACAAAGACTCGGGGCGCGGCGGGCGACCGCTGCGGACGATCACCCAGGCTTTTAGCGACCAACGCGGTAAGAAAAACCCGCTACACCCGGACTCGACCCCAGGAGGGAGGCGGGGCACTACTGTGTTGCAAGACTTTACAGTTCGCAGAGTGAAAATTTTCCACCTTAAAAAATTGCGCATTGCGGAGATATTTTATTTAAAAAAACATATAGCGCTTGCGGGGGTGAAACAAAAAATAAGTTAGAAAAAGGCACTTCTCAGAAAAAATAAAAATTACTTCGCAAAAAAAACCCCAAACCAAACCAAAACAAAAAAAAAACCCTACCACGAATTATAGAAAAAGTAGTTCACAGGAAAAGAGAAAGACGCGCATTGCAGGAAAAATAAATCGGAGAAAAGCACTTGGCAGAAAAAAAAATGCATTAGATTAAAAACGCACTGCAGAAAAAAATTAGACAAGGGAGCTAACAGAAATAAATGAATTGGGCAAAAACGCTTTCAAGAAAAAAATTAGAGAAAAAAGCCCCTCGAGAGAAAAATAGAAGGGGAAAAAGGCGCTTCCAAAAAAGGATAATTGCTTTACGAAAAAAAAAAAATCAAAAAGAGGCAAAAGCGCTTTGTGTAAAAAGAGATAAATCAAAAGAAAGCGCTTTGCCCATAAAACCATTTACCCTAAAAGCTCCCTTTGCAGGAAGAATTCCCTGCTAAAGGAATCCTTTGCCAAAGGAATCGCATATTTCCTTCAAGGTGTTCCTGGAATGCTGCATTTACTGGGTAGGATTCGCTTTTCGAAATCCTCCAGGGACACAGCCCATTGCGAGAAGTGAGGTATACCTAAGTTGTGGGTCCAATCAGCTTGCCGCCATGCAGCTCTCAGCACAGTTGGAAAAGCTCCAGCTGCCCTGACTCGTGGACAAGCTGCGCCCGCGCCCGCCTCTCCAGCCTACGCTGGATGGGCGGGCGGGGCAGGGGGTGGGGCGGGGGTGGGCACGGCAGCACCACAGACATGCTGTGGGTGCTCTCCACTAAGGGTGGGTCCTGGGTTTCTCGCCGCAGGTGTTCAGGTACTCCCTGCAGAAGCTGGCGTACACGGTGTCGCGGACCGGGCGGCAGGTGTTGGGGGAGCGCAGGCAGCGAGCCCCCAACTGAGGCCCCAGCTCCCAGCCCTGGGCGGCCGTATCATCAGGTGCTCCTGTGCATCTCAGCCAGCACGGGAGCCAGTGCCGCACAGGAATGGGGGGTCCCCTGTGCTCCCTCGCCAGAGGAGCACTTGGCAAGGTCAGTGAGGGGCCAGTAGACCCCTGGAGAAGCAGTACCGACAATGACGAAGATTCCAGATCCCTTCCCAACCCCTTTGCACCAGTCCCACCAAGGGGCAGGGTCGGGAGAGGAGGGGGGATAGGGGGAGCAGACCCCTGAGATTTGGGCATAGGCACCGCATTCTGATCTGGACAAAGTTGGGACAGCGCCATCCCAGCCCCGAAGCCAGGGCCATGCCAGCAGGCCCCACCATGGAGATCCAAACACCACACCAGCCAGCAGAATGGACGCTCTGACATCGCCAGCCGAAGCCCTGAATCTTGGTGCAGCACCAACCGCGTGCCTGTGTGGCGGGACTGGAGGGCACAGTTGAGGAAGGAGGGTGGTTAAGAAATACAGTGGGGCCCTCTTGCTGTCCCTTGCCTAGGGCACTTGCATTCCAGCCTTGCTGCATTTGCTCCCTCGATTCCCCTTTCCTCCTCACTGCCTCCCAAGCCCACCCTACTCCAAAATAATGTGTCACTTGATTTGGAACTATTCAAGCAGTAAAAGGAAATGAATCCCACCTTTACTAAAACACTTTCTCTGAATCCCCCTTGCCCCTCACTGATCTTGCTTTTCCCTGGTCTCACGCAGTTGTGGTCAATATTGTGGTAATCGCTAATTGTACTGATTGTTTAAGTGTGCATTAGTTGTGTCTCCCCAGCTAGATTGTAAGCTCCTGGAGGACAGGGACCACCTCTACAAAAAATAAAAAAAAGTACCTCCCCTGTCTCGCACAGTGTCCCAGGACCCTGCGGGGCAGTGGAGGCGCACCAAAACTTTGTCTCTTGTGATTTCTTTAGCGGCATCAACACACACTTCTAAGACTCAGCTGATGTGCCCATTGTGGAACAGGCACTCTGCTTGGGGGAGGGAGGAAAAGGAGGGCCATGAAAATTGCAATAAGCTGGGCCCCTCACACACCCAACCTCATCTCAATGCTGTCCTGTGATAAAGGACCATCATTCCCCACCCCCCCAACGAGAAAGGCTGACATCTTCACTTGTGGTCCGGGAATAAGGGACCACTTCCCCCTCCCCAAAGGGATAGGTGCTTTACTTGTGGTCTTAGGAGAAGGGGCCAAAGCAGGTAATCACTTTGGGAAAGATGAGAGGAGGGGAAAAAGGTGGCAGTAGCCCTCCAAAGAGGTACTAGGGACCAAGGGGGTGATTTCAGAACACAAAGCCTTACTCCAGGTCTCCATCCAGAAGCCCCAAGGAAATGAGTACTGGGCAGGGTAGACATTGGCTTAGACAATGAGTATGGGATAAGAGGTGCAGTGTGACACCTTCTCCACCCAGCTTAATGCTGCAGGCCCCATATCCACCAGGACCACTACAAAGACAATCTGCCTGGCCCTGCGACTCTGCAGGGTCTCCTGGCCCCACCTCATCCCAGAAACCTCTCTCCCCATCACTGGATTTCTGCTTTTCCCAGCACCAGCCTCCTTATTCTTAGGGATGCTTACCAGGTCCCTGGCCCTGGGCTCTCCCCTGCCATCATGTCAGGGTAGGCAGTGGGCTGGCTGCTCGGCCTCGGACTTGTCTTCCTCTCCCACTCCCCAGTGAGTCAGGGCTCTTTCTACACAGGGTCAGCTGACTGTCTCACCAAATGGCCCTGCCGCCTGTTCAGCCTTGTCTGGCTTTATGTGTCCCTGTCACCACACACCTGTTGCTGGGTCAACACCAAGGGAGGGAGTTGGAGGGCCATAAATCTCTCTTCCTGCCACTTCTTCGAATCCCTTAGTCACAGCTGTCACAAATACTTCTGGAGCACAAAGTACCTTGCCCCCTTAAGCCTGACCATGTTTCCTTCCCCTAAGCAAGCCCCCCAGTCACCAGCACCTCTAAAGGCATCTAAAACTTCATTCGGTATCAGAGAATTATAGGGGTCGGGAGGTGCAGATTCCAGTTCTGGTCTTGGCTTTGCCATCAATCAGCCTAGGGAACCTGGACATGTCACCTTATACCCTTCATCTTCAGTTTCCCTCTCTAAGAAGGCCTCTGAGATGCCAGTGAACCCTAACATGCTAGAAACTGTCGTCGCAGTGGCAATCAGGACTCATCAGGACTCGGAGAGGATGTGCAATCTGAGACTTCATCCTTCTTAGGCTGGGTGGCTATAGCTGCTACCATAGCCTGAAGGTGAGGCAGGTCTCCTCTCACCCCAGTGTGACTCATCAGCAGGCAATGCCCACACCTCCTCCCTTCTGAACCCCTATCTTGGCAGGCCTCAGAACTGGGAGTTTCTGTGGTTTTCCACACTAAACCCACAGAATCATGAACATACCAACATGTGTTCTCAATGAAGGCTAACCCTCCCTTTGGAGCTTTTGAGGGGTATGCCCATAGCCCCACTGCCCCTGATGCTCTAACCTTAGCCCAAGGGACAAGGTAGATTTCAGGGAGGTGGACCAAAGCAGCATGGTAAGAGCTGGCTGCTCTGGACACAGCACCTCCTGTGCCCCCACTTAGAAGACAAGAGGCTGCTTGTAGCCCCAGAGTTTTCCATATCATCTTGGCAAAGCCCTTTTCCTCCATCCATCCATCAGCAGGGTTGTGAGTGTGACAAGGTGAGATGACAGATTTCCAGGCAAGGGCTGCCCTGGTGGCCTGCACCTGCATGTGTGGGCTTCAATGTGCAATGTCCACTCCCCGTTTGCATCCTCCACCCACAAAACCTCATGTTCTGGCAGCAAACAACCCACCAGAGAAGACAATGCATTCACTTTCCATCCAGTGCAATGCCAAGCAATGCTTAGATGGTCCAAACACACCTTGTTTATAAAATTTTTTCCACAAACTATACCATTAAACATTTTATTCTGATAGAGAGCAATGGGAAGAATTGAAAATGCCTAGTATTTTATTGCACAGCCCTTAGTCACAGTGCTGAATGCCCCCTTTGCCTAAACTGTCATTGCTCCCAGAAGATTTTGCCCCCCACAAGGCCAAGGACAGAGCAGATCAATTGGGAAGGAGTTGAGAATGGCTCTGTGGGACTCCAGCAACAGGTGAGAGACCCTTGAGACTAATGCTCCAGGATGTTAAGTTTCTTAGCCTAACCAGCTGAAGTCCAGAGGTGGCAGGTTTAGGTACCATGACTTTTAGGGGTACAGGGTGCTATGTGACACTGTTACCTTTATCTGTGGAATATTTGCATTGTCAGTGAACGAAGGAATGTCTGCTGTCAGGGAAGGGCAGGGGCAAGTTCCTTGAGCTTGGGCAACAGATAACTGTTGGATCGGGGAGCAGGTCTGCTGTGAGTCATTTACTAGATATCTATTTTGAAATGTGTATCTCCTCAGGAGCCAACACCCCAAAGGGAGATTCTGAATTTGCAGTTAACTCCCTCTCCCCCGCGCCCCCACCAGAGATTTAAACGTGTGCACTCATGCACATACACAAAACACTAGTCAAACAACAATCTCTTTTCCCTTGGTGACCTCTGACTTCCTCTATATGCCCCAGAGACATGTTGTCACCATCTTCCCTGGGAATGATCCTGTTTATCCTCCCCTCCCCCACTTGCCCTCCCACAGGGCCCATGCCCCAGCAGGATCCAGATTCCTGAGCATTTCCAGAGCAGGAAGTCAGAGAGGCAGGCAACGCATGGTTCTTGGTATATCGCACAGGGACAGGCTTGAAATGGAATGCATGTGTTTCAAAGATAGGAGAACAACAACAAAAAAAGACAGCCTAACCCAGATTCCTCTTTGAAACAACATATTACAGATTAAAGGTTAAACTGGTTTTGGCAGCAACTCTAATAAGACCAATTTCAGATATGGAATTGACCTGGTCACTGGAAACCGACCAGGCTTCCCGTGATCAAATCTTTTAACAGATTTGCTTGACATTAATTAGTCTCTGATTTAAAACAAACAAGCAAACAAGATCTAACACTTTGGGCATTAGCACTTAAACTGGAACTTTTTTTTGGTCCCAGCTTTGGTGTTGCCGTCCAGAAGGCTGACGGGATGACTGGACCATGTCAGGCAAGGCAGAGAAGCCGTCCCCAACACACCAGTTCCCTGAAAGGGATAAAGACGATCCAAACCTATAAAGAGAAAGGCTGTTTCTTTCCGAGGACAGACCCCAGTCTCCCAACATTTAGCGCTGAAATGGGACACGAAGACCTGGAAGGAAACTAAAGGAGATTTGGAAAGGGGAAGGAAAAAGCAACTGTCTCCCATCCCCCATGCTTCCTTTCCAGGACATTAGTGTGCCAGGCATTCCGTTCTTTCAGCTGCCCTTGAGGGCCACTCCCCACGTCTATAGAAGGAAAACGAAGGGGTGTCCACCCTTAGATGTAAAGTTGGAGGGAGTAAGAAGCGCCCGCGACTCTTAGCAGAGCGTCAACCTATCACCCCAGACACCTAAGCGGGGCCTCGAGCGGGAGACCCTCTCTCCCCTCACCCCCACGTCCCCCGCCCCGGCCAAAAAAAAGCAACTAAAGTAACTACACTGATGGGGACAGAGTGACAGGCCTCTCACAAGCTGGGCACCCTGCGTGGAACCCGGGGCCGCAGAGATGGTGGTCGCGCTCCCCAGCCCCGTGCCCCGGCTCTGCCTGCCTCATCCTGCAAGGACACTGACCTTGGACAAGGCCGGAGCGAGCACCCAGGAGTACTGTGACCACCCCCGGGCTGGAAAGGGACCCCCAAGGCCCAGGTTAGGTCCAATCACAGCAATCACCTGAAGCCGGACAGGGGCGCCCTCCCTTCCCGGGGGTATGCGGATGGAAAACCCCAGTGACGGGGACCGGGCGACGCCTAAGGTGACCCAGAAGGGACAATATGGCGGCGCGGCCGCATGGAGGGCCTCTCATCCCGCCCCAAGCAGGTTGACGCCACGGTACCTGCAAGCCCTGCCATGGCGCCGCCGCCACTGTCGCCGTCTGCCGCAGCCTGCCTCCACCTCAGCTCGCCACGGACGCCGCAGGAAGCCGGGGAGACGCCCCCTTCGTCTTCTAGTGGAGCCGGCCGAGGACCCATCCTGGAATCGGGCTGCCTACCACAGACGCCTGATCACACGGCCCGAAGAGGGGAGCTCACCCTCGCCCCATCTCCCCTAAATATCAGCCACAGGCCACCTTTGAGTCCTTTGTACGCATTTTTACAAAATTCTGGGAGCGCCGAGGTCCTCAAGCCCTAATAATTTTTATCAGGCGCAGTGTGGACAGCCCCGAAGCGCTGCCGGGTCCCCTCATGCATATGCAGCAAATTGTGATCTTTACTTCGTGAGCGCGGGGCGGGCCGGGTTGTGTTCCTCTGGGTGAACCCGCTTAGTTCTTCCCCGCGCGGACGGTCCGGGGACTCGGGGAAAACCTTCTCGTGGCTCAAAGTCCACCCCCTCCCTAGCGTTTCATCATGCAGCCAGGGCTCAGGAGCTGAGAGAGCCGGGCTTAGAACTTGGAACTGCCTTGGGTCAGGCCCCGGCTCCCCCACTTGCCCAGTATCTTGGGCGAGGGAGCCTCTCCCCCGCCCCTACCCGGCTTCTGATGAAATGCCCACCTTACGGCTTTTATGGGGCTTGAATGAGTTCGTGTAGTCATTTATTAGCTAATTAAGCGTATTCCTTGGGCGCTTACTGTACCCAAGCTCAGTGCTAAGGGCAAGTAGAGTGGGTGTCCTGGGTCTGTTCCTGACCTCAAGGCGCTGCCAGTCTAATGGCGGGTAGGCGGGGAGACAGTCATATAATCACTGTATATTAGTGACTTGAATCAATACATAATTACACATCATGGGAAGTGCTGTGAGAAGAAGTAGAGAGTGTTAGGAGAAATTAATGGAGTCCTAATGTAGGGAGAGGGTGGAACCTCTTTGGGAAGATGGCATTTAGGTTGAGAAACCAAGGACGATTAGGGCAAGAGTGAGAGGGGAAGATGGCATTTAGGTTGAGAAACCAAGGACGATTAGGGCAAGAGTGAGAGGGGAAATGTTCTAGACAGAAAGAACATTTGTCCCAGATGTGGAGCTGGGAAGGGGCAGGGTTAGGGTGAGGTGAGCACCAAAGAAGACAGGTCAGCTGTATACTGTATTTGGCTTTTCTCTTGAGAGTTAGGGGAAGCCATTTTCATCAGGAAAAGGATAGCAAATTTGGATTTCTGAAAGGCCACCCAGGCCGCATGGCTTGGAAAGCACTCAGGAGTGGGTGTAGGCAGACCAGTTAGGAGGTGGTTGCAGCTTTCCAGACAAAAGCTAATGCTGACTCAGACAGGGTGGTGGCTTGGGGAGGTGAAGGAAAGGATGGAAGACTGGACGTGGGTGGATGTGGAGGCATTGGCAATAACTCCTCACTGGGTTTTAGCCTTGAGTAAATGAAAGGGTAAAAGAGTCCTTGGCCAAGACAATGAAGGCTGAAAGAGGAATAGACTGAGGGGGAAGATCACATTCGGCTTTGAGAAGTTAGGTTTGAAATGCCTGGGCAACATGCAGGCAGAGAGGGTGAGTAGGCAGGTTTATGTGACACAGGAGCTCTGAACGGAGTCTGGGGCTGGAAATACATATTTAGGGGCCATCAACACAGAGGTCATGGTGCTGGGTTAGAACTCAAGGGAAAGAAGGTGGAGAGAAAAGTGGGCAGAAGAGGAGGATCCAGGAAAGGAGACTGAGAGGCAGTGGCCAGTGGGGTAGAAAGAGGACCAAGTGAGTGTGGGTCCTAGAGAGGAGGTTTCAGGAAGGAGGGAGTGCTCAGTGGGACTGATGCTGTAGAGGACAGAAATGGAGTGGTAGGGGTTTGGGAATAAAGGTTGGTGGACTGTATCTTTTATGTTGCAAGTTAAACACACAACTACATCAATTGGCTTTAAAAAGTAGTCTGTCACTCAGTGGCTAGGCAGTGTCAGCAAGGCCCGAGGTTCATTTTATCTTCTGTCCTTGTGCTGGTTTCACGCTCATGGTCACAAGATGGCTATCCACTTCCTGGGGTCACATCCAAAGCAAGGAGATGTCCATTTCTCCTCTAGCTGAGACTCCAACAGGCCTGAATGTGGCCTCCCACCATCCTGCTGCTTACAGGCTAAAGGGTCAATGCATCCATGGCAGCCACACCCAGTATCCAACACTGAATGACAAGAGGAGTCTTGTAGTGGAAGCCCTTGTTCAGAAAAAGAGAAAGCTGGCTTTGCGGATGCCGCCAGGATCCCCATACTATTAGCCACGTCCACCGTGTTGTTCGACATCACTGTCAACGGCGAGCCCTTGGGCTGCTTCTCCTTCAAGCTGTTTGCAGACGAAATTCCAAAGACAGCAGAAAACTTACATGCTCTGAGCACTGGAGAGAAAGGATTTGGTTATAAGGCTTCCTGCTGTCACAGAATTATTCCAGGGTTTATATGTCAGTGTGGTGACTTCACATGCCATAATGGCACTGGTGGCAAGTCCATCTATGAGGAGAAATTTGATGATGAGAACTTCATCCTAAAGCATACAGGTCCTGGCATCTTGTCCATGGCAAATGCTGGACCCAACACAAAAGGTTCCCAGTTTATCATCTGCACTGCCAAGACTGAGTGGTTGGATGGCAAGCATGTGGTCTTTGGCAAGGTGAAAGAAGGCATGAAGATTATGGAGGCCATGGAGCACTTTGGGTCCAGGAATGGCAAGACCAGCAAGAAGATCACCATTGCTGACTGTGGACAACTCCAGTAAGTTTGACTTGTGTTTTATCTTCACCACCAGACCATTCCTTCTGTAGCTCAGGAGAGCACCCTCCTATTTGCTTGCAGTATCCTAGAATCTTTGTGCTCTCACTGCAGTTCCCTTTGGGTTTCATGTTTTCTTTGTTCCCTTCCATGCCTAGGTGGATTGCAGAGTTTTTGATTATGAAATAAAAACTAAATAACAACAACAAAAAAAGAGAGCTGAATGTTGAGAGGCTATGGAGCAACAAATTCTTGCACAGTGCTGACAGCAGAGGAAATTGGTACAGCTCCTTTGGAAACTGATAGTATCTACAAAATCTAAACATACACCTATGCTGTGATCTAGGATTTCCACTCCTAGGTATATACCCGAGAGAAATGAGTGCCTATGTCTACATGAAGACTTGTGCAAGAATGTTCATAGCAGACTTATTCATAGCTCAAATTAGAAATGGTTCAATGTCCATCACTGGAGAATGGATAAATTGTGGCATGTTCATGCAATGGAATACTGTGTTTTATGTATAAAAGAGCAAACTACTGTTACATGTAATAACACCAATTAATCTCACATATAGTATGTGGACTAAAAGAAGCCAGATACAAAACAGTATATGCCATATTAATCCATTCATGTAAAGCTCAACTAATCTATAGGGTTAGAAATCAAAATGGCAGTTATCTGGGTCAGGTCACGAGTAGGGATGGGAAAGGAGCAAGAGGAGCTTTTCTGGCGTGCTGGAAGGATTATATCTTCTTCTGGCTGGTGATTACATAAGTGAAAATTCAAGTAAAAATTCACCATAAGACTAGGGGAGGCGGAGGCTGCAGTGAGCCAAGATCATGCCACTGCTCTCCAGCCTGGGTGACAGAATGAGACCCTGTCTTGCGGGGAGAATGGGGGGGGGGTGCGGGGAAGAAAGAAAAAAGACTGGGGGCTTTATGTACTTTATGTATGTTTTAACTCAAGAAAAATAGAAGAAAGGGGCCAGGAGTGGTGGCTCACTCCTGTAATCCCAGCACTTTGGGAGGCCAAGGCAGGCGGATCATGAGGTCAGGAGTTTGAGACCAGCCTGGCCAACATGGTGAAACCCCGTCTCTACTAAAAATATTAAAAATAGCTGGGTGTGGTGGCATGTGCCTGTAATCCCAGCTACCCAAGAGGCTGAGAATCCCTTGACCCTGGGAGGCGGAGGTTGCAGTGAGCCGAGATCGCACCACTGCACTCCAGCCTGGGCAACAGAGCGAGATTCCATCTCAAAAACAAAAACAAGAAAAACAGAAGAAAGGAAGGGGTGCTGCCATCCCATGGAATGTGGCATGCTGCTAAACAAGGATCAGGTCTGTTTTGCGGGGACACCACCTTCCAGTAACTTCAGGCTGAATGTTAGTATGTACAAGGCCTCAGAGGCCAACCCTTTCTCCCTGGGGCTCAGAAAACTGGGGAAGCTGAGGCAGGGTTTCTAATGCACATGGAATTTGCTCCCGCTCAGCTGAACCCTTTCCCCTCTACCCTCAAGATTACTCTACCTTCCCAGCTCAGTTCCAGGCTGTGGAAACACCACCAATACCAGCTCTGACTTGAGGGACCTGGAAGGTCATTCTGCCCTAAAATTTTGCTGAGACGAACTCAACTTCCTACCAAGACTTCCCCAACTTGCTCCCACCCACCAGACACCTGGAGTCACCCATGACTCCTGCTCCCTCTTGCTCCATACACCTCAACTCTTGCCCATTGCAC